ATTTTCTGTTCTAAGTTCTCAGGTCCCTTCTAACCTTATTTTTCTAAATATTCTTTTTTGATGATTTTTGGCTTTGTATTGAAGTCATTCCCTACCCACTCCCTCAAGATTGAAACACCCTTCTAGGCAAAGAAAACAATCAAACACACAGAAGCATGTACTTTCACATACAAACCTTTTCTGACAATGTATATGATATTCAGTCCCAGTAGTGTCCCACCTCTCTACCATGAGGGAGGGGGAGTATTTCATTATCTCTTCTCCAGGATCTATATGTATATACATACATATATATATGTGTGTGTGTATGTATGTATTATATATATGTATATGTATATAATATTTTATTTTTCCCTAATTACATGTTAAAATGATTTTAAACATTTTTTTAAAAAGTTTTGAGTTCCAAATTCTGCCCCTCCCTCCCTCCTTCCCTCCTTTCCTCCTTCCCTGAAATGGTAAGCAATCAGATATAGCTTCTACATATGCAGTCATGTAAAACACTTCCACATTAGTCATTCTCCAGGATCTTTATTCATTCTTCCATTACTCAGTTAGCTTTTTAGTGATCTTTTCATTTACATTGTTGTACATATTGTCTTTGTTCTGCTAATTTCTCTCCAACAGTTCATACAAAAAATGCCATAGTCCTCTGAATTCCTCATAATCATCATTTTTTATTATGCAATGATATTCCATTTCATTCATTCTTTTTCAATCCTTTTCCAATCAATGGACACTCACTCGCTTTGCTTCTAGTTCCTTACTACCTCAAAGAGTATTGCTATGAATATTCTGATACACATTGGACTTTTGTTCCTAATTTTTACTTCCTTGTAGTAAATGCCCATTAGTGGGATCAAGGAGTATTAATTACTTTTCTTGAGTTATTTGAAATTGAAATCCAGAATGACTGGACTACTTTACAGCTCCACCAAGAATGTACCAGTGTTCCCCTAATCCCTCTGCCGTTGACTACTCTTATCTATTTTCATCTTTGCAAATTTGCATAGAGTGAGGTAAAATTGCTTTAATTGAGAAAGTTTAATTGAGAATTTTTTAAATTTGCATTTCTCTTATGATAGTAGAGATTTTGAAGCATATTTTGCTCTTAGCAATATTCACTCTTGGTGATATTTAATTCTTAGTGATTTAGAACATATTTTCATGTTGTCATTTATACTTTACAAACCATATTTTGAAAACTGTTCGCATCCTTTGACCACACATCTACTGAGGGAATGTTTTATGGTTGTGTTTATCCCTTGTATATTTTGTATATTGGACTTTTACAGGTGATGTTTGATGCAAATATCATCCCACCTCTACTTTTCTCCTTCCTCCATTCTGCTGTTGTATGTTCTAGTGTCAGCCCTTCCATTATCATTCTTTGGTCTAAGGCCAATTCTAATCCTGACATTCCATGTTCTAAAATTGCCTGCAGTTCCAACATTCTTAGGTTCTAAGGGTCAGCTCTTTCAGTTCTGACATCCTTTTTTATCAATCCACTGTTATCAATCCATTCTATTCCCTCCCTCCCTGTGGGGAAGTTGGAGGGGGACAACCTGTAGCCAAACCTTAGGGTCAGGCAAACACATACACTAAGAACCCACTGAGTGCCCTGCACTTTGCTGAATGCTAGAGCAGAAGACACTGCCCCTGCTTGCTGAGTTCAGGGACAGAAGAGAGCAAACTAGGTGGAGTTTTAAAGCCCTGATGAACAGGTCCCAGATAACTAGGCACCCTAAGCAGATCTGAGGGTGAGAGAAGTCACTTCAATTTTGGGAGTCTTAGTATAAGAAAACCAATTTAGAGCAGAGAGTTTGTGCTAACTAAATTCCAGGGCCACATTAGTGTCCATCCAGCCTGACCTCCTCCACCTTGTCCATCTCTACTCCATCCTGGGCAGGATCATCATCATCATCATCATAGAAACTTACATTTAATATAGAGCATGTTAAGGTCTTACCATGCTATATCTCCTTTGCTCTCAAGTTTTCATAATAATGACCCTGAGGCTCAGTAGAAACCTCTTCAATAAACAAAAATTCCATCATTGTGTTATCAATCAATTTACCAAGACAGGAAAATGGATGTGAGAAACATTTTCCAACAATAAATGCTTATGGGGCCTATTCTATCCTCAGTAAACTGGAAAAATGAAATGATCTAGAACACATTATCCTTTCCCAACTATAGGCATCCTGAGGTATGAGGCACTGTGCTGAAAGGTCAAGAGCTCAAAAATCAGTCAGAAGACCTGAGTGTCAGTCCCAGCTCTTGCTTATCAGCTATGCAAGGGGCCTTCTCTGTTCCCCTACCCCCCACCACTTTCTTTTTCCAAATTTCCTTGTTTGTAAAATGAAGTTGTTGAACTAAATGCTCTCTAGTGCCCCTTCCAAGATTCTATATTCTATAGACCCTGCCAACTCTAATGGTCACTATGTGAAAAATATAATTCTGTGCTTTCTCTATAAAAATATAACTGTTTACTAAAACAAAGCATGAAGTTTGCTAATAGAACCTAGCCTTATAGTTCCAAAATAATAGCCAAGATTGAATAAAAACACTGCGATACATTCTGCTCCTCTTCTCACTACATTTTAGCGTCAAGAATGTGAATCCTTAAGGATAGCTAGGTGACACAAGTGGATAGAGCTCTGGCCTTGGAGTCAGGAGGACCTGAGTTCAAATCCAGGCTCAAGACTTTTGACACTTACTAGCTGTTTGACCCTGGGCAAGTCACTTAACCCTGGTTGCCTAAGCAAAAAAATAAAAAGAATGTGAATCCTTTCCCTAAAGCTTTAAAGGGAGACCCTTCCAGGCTCCTAGCTCCACCGGTGTGACTTCAAAGTCCCTGGCAACTGGAGCTTAAATCTTTCTGAAAGCTCCTATACTCTAGGAAATGTCTGCTATCAGAGCCTTTCTCTCACTTAGCTAGAGAAGTAACTGCCCACAGAGGTCTTCCTCGAGCTCTGCGTTTAAAGGGACCGTGCCCCTTTCCTAGAACAGACATTTAAAGAGTACAGAACACAGTTTTAGAAGAAAACTATAAAGTACTCTCTGTTTTTGGTTATCCTCCAGAACATATAATTTAGTATCTCTTGCTTCCCTTTCTAATCCAGGCTCAGGAATAAGGCAGCTAAATGGTTGCTATAGCAACCTATTCCATTCCTACAGTCCTGAGGGGCCCTGATTTCAGATGGTCTACCAATCTGGAGGCTAGGATGGTCAGCCATGCATAGACAGGTTTCCCCAGTACCAGGAGGGAAAGCCCACTCCCTCCCTCTTCCCCCAAAACTGTCACTGACCACAGCTACTGCCTAAGGCCTCCAGGACCAGGGAGATCAGGGGCAGAGAAGCAGGGGCATTTAATGCAAACTCTATCCTGCTGCTATTCTCCAGGCACTGTCCATTTTGCAGATTAACTCACACCTATCCTTAGCCAAGAGATCTAAGCTAAGAGGGAATTGGGGCCTGACGGAATGAGAGAGAGAGAGACACACACAGAGAGAGAGAGAGAGAGAGAGAGAGAGAGTGTGTGTGTGTGTGCGTGTGTGCGTGCGTGCGTGTGTGTGTGTGTGTGTGTGTGTTTTCTTTGTATCTCTGTAGTTCAAGGTAAAACAGGAATTTGGGGGAATCATCCACTCTTGATTCTTATCTCGAATTCCTCTCTCAGTTATGCTTTGAACTTCACCACTCTGTCTCAGGAGTCATACAACTCTAGAACCTCCCTCTGCCCATTCTCCCACTGGCGAGTTCCTCTCTGAACCTCCATTTTGAGGACGAACCCAGACTTGGCATTCATCATTCCTCTCCCACCTCTGGCTTCTGATTCTCTCAATTTCACCTTCACCTCAGCTCCCTTTTATGTATTTTCTTTCCCTTTTAGAATGTAAGCTCCTTGAAGCAGGCCTTGTCTTTTTTTGTTTTTGTTTCGTTTTTGCTTTCATGTGTATCCTGTGAAAAATGATTTCTCTTGGTAATAATCTGTGTTTTGGAGACTCAGAGTTCCACCCTGCCAGTCTTCTGTCCAAAGTTACTCAGAAGGACATCTCTGATAATGAGATTGCATTGAATCTTCTTATCTTGGTCAAACTCCAACCCAGGCCTGAATTGATTTTATCCTACTCAGGTTTGGGTGGAGACAGACTTCCAAGACTAGGGGTGGTATTTCCTTTGATGGTGGGTGATATTGGCCCCTGTGGTCTGAGTGATCTAAGGAACCCACCCACCTCCTAGTATATTGACCAATCATGGTTGATTGGCACCCCTTTGGGAACACTTACTCTTCGAAGGGCATATAACGATATACCCCAAAATCCCAAACCAAGTCAGTTCTGAATTGACCCCCTTGGGGGGACCCAGTTTTGGACTGAACTCCCATGCAATGTATGTCAAGCCACTTTGAGAAATTAAACTGTGGACACATGTTCCCCAACTTTGTTTGTTTCTTTCTTAGAGTAGACTCTTTCAAATTGGGGTTTGTGGGGTTCATGGGGTTTGGGGTTCACAATCCTTAGCATGTAGCAGTGGCTGGCACATAGTAAGCACTTAATAAATGCTAAGGAATTGATGCCATTTCATCTAGCCCCTCCAATCAAGCCAGCAACTTTATTTACCATAACAATGCAATTCTCAACCATACACACCTCTCTTTCATCTATTCCTTTTTCTTCTCCCTTGACTGTAACTCTAATTTGCCAAGTCATCTATTTACCTCCTGTCCCTCAGTTCTACTAGGAACACCTGGACCTTACAGGATCATTACCCTTTGTAATGAAAGGAATTGTCATTTGTGAACTTAATGTCAAGGTGCATTATTCTTTTTTTTTTTCTTGAGAGGTATAATATTATCGTGTGTGGAAGCTTTTCTCCCTTTTCTCCCTCCTCCTTCCATCCCTTCTTGGGAAGAGGAAAAAGTGATTACTTTTTTTGTTTTGGGCTAGGCAATGGGGTTAAGTGACTTGCCCAGGGTCACACAGCCAGTAAGTGCTTTGTGTCTGAGGCTGGATCTGAACTCAGGTCCTCCTGAATCCAGGGCTGGTGCTCTATCCCCTGCACCACCCAGCTACCCTGAAAAAGTGATTACTTAATGATAATGTAGGAATGTGAATGGGCCAGCAGCAATCAGGAGGTGATATAACTAATATGACCCAGGGAGCCCTGGGCTTGTAGACTGATGAATGTGTCAGAATGTGAGGATGCCAGCAAAGGAGGCACAGTTGTGCACCCAAGGCTGCTGGGGCAGCCTGCTATCTGGAGATGTCAATTATTCCACAAGCCTATTTAAGGGCATCAGAAGGACCTGAGTTCAAATTCAGCATCAGACATGTGATACTCACTAGCTGTGTGACCCTGGGCAACTCACTTAACCCCAACTGCCTCGCACAAACAAACAAACAAAAAAAGAATTGGTACTGGTCTTAGAGTGTTTGGAAAGTACTGGATATGATAAAAGAAAGACCACAGAATTCAAAAAAGTGTGGAAAGACTTACATGAACTGATGCAAAGTGAAGTAAGGATAGCCAAGAAACACTGTGCACAGCTACAACAATGTGATGGAAAGTACAACAATTGGGAAACAATCTAAAATGAAAGTCACAAAATTACAAGGAACAAGCATGGCCTCCAAGTGGAGATATGAGAAAACCCCTCTTCCCTCTCCTGCACAGAGATGGAGGGGTCCAGAGCTGTGGGACATTGCATGGCAGTGTCAGATTTTTTTTCAATGTAGCAATTGGTTTTGTTGGATTTTTTTCTTTTTCCTCTTTAAATAAATTCTTTGTTATAAGGGATGGCTTTGTAGAAGGGGGAGGAACACAAGGGTAGATGTAGGCAATGTAAAAAAAATGATATCAATGATCAGTTTTTTTTTTTTTAAAAAAAAAAGGACAATGGATGGAAGGCTGGAATGGGGTTAGAATTAAACTTGAAGAGTTTCCATGGCTGAGAGTGTCTATGTTGAATGCTCATGGGTTTGTGGGGAGGTGTGCCCCTTAGAAGTGAGAGTAGAGAGTGAGCATACAGCACTTAGTGGCACTGAAGTGGCTATTTACCTTGAGTGAGTCTATGTGAGGTTTGGAAGAAATAAGCAACCAAGTAGGAGTTTCAGTGAGTATTACAGAAGTGTCCACCTGATCAGCCCCAGATTTTCACAGATCCCTGGCCTGAGCAGCACAGTATTTAGGAATTTGGGTTCTAGTGTCCCCTCCCTCACCCCTATGTATAGATGTGAGTATGAAAGAATCATGATGACAATCTACCCACCAGACTGGATCTTATGTCACTTATCTGAATTGGGCACTTCCTAGCTTGTTTTGGCAAAAACAATGCCTCAGTGAGGGACACATGCTCAGTGGCGCATGAATAACTGGATGACGATTATTTGACAGAAGGAACTGGTGCAGCATACCCATGGGGGCTAACTCCAACTTGGCATTTTATGTTCTAGGACGTGAGTTGCCATCTTCTTTGAAGAACCAGAGCAGAATAACAAGTAGTTGTGTTGGTTGCTGGACTGAAAGGGAATTATGTTGTCTGTAAACTCAGCCAGGCAAACTTTTGGGAGTTAGGATAGCTACCAAGCAAGTAAAATTCTAGCACCCAAGTGAGTAGGTCCTAGAACTATACACCAAGAGATGGTAGTAGCTAGAGAACGTGAAAGGCAATTTGGAATTTGGGATTCCGGTTTTCTCACCTAGGAGGCAAGGCTTTTCAGAAACCAAGAAAATCAGGGAGGGGCTAGGCCTTCCCAGATAGGGTTTTAGGATTGGGAAAGTCTGGAAGTGTTATGAATAGCTTTACATGGGTGATGGATTCTCTAATTGTGCATCAGAGAGGAGTGAGTATAGGGGACGGGGAGGGAGTCACTGTTGTAAATAGCACAGGTGTAGTCATCAAATCAGCCAATATTTGGCTACTCATTTTGTAGTGATAGGGATGGAAGTCATTAATGACCCAGGTAATGCTGAAGTTCTACACTCCCCTTTGTGTTATGTGCGGCCCTAACTCTTTGGGATAGGCAGGCAATCGACTAATGTGGTAGGTCTATGCTCCTTGGAGCATAGTGTGGGTCTGTGTTTGGGTCCACAATCAGCTTAACTTTGCTCCAAAGTCCAGAGAGACTGTATAAAAGTGATGATACATGTCATATAGATGGCTTAGAGCTATAGATCTGATCCTTGGTGACTGAACTCCATCCTCTGCCCCTATCAAAGAGACTGCTAGCAACAGACAGAAAACAAAGAAAGGAGGAAGCTTTGGGCCAAGCTCAAGGTTCTAGGAGCTCCCAGCAAGCAAACCTGATGGACCAGAAGAGGAACCACTCTATGCCCTGTCCTGGAAGAGCAGATGAATCCCATGACATCAGAAACATAATCTTTCTTCCAACAGGAAGGTTCTTAGAGGAAGAAAGGAAGGGTTTGGGCAGAGAAAAGCCAAACCCTTCATCTAGTGAGAGAGGAAGAGAGATGAGAGTTCAAATGAATATGTTCTTATCATTAGCTTTTCAGGCTTCTGTAGTTCTCCCAGGTGCTGAGAAGGAAAGCCCTGTGGAGCCCGGTGTCCCTCCGGGCTTGAGTCGATAGCAAATGGTGATATCATGCTCTGGCTGCATCAGTCCAAACCCATACCTACTGCAGTCAAAGCTGGGGATCTTTTCCTCTGGATTTTTCAATTTCAGGTCAAACTGCATCAACAAAATAATAACAAACCTGTGGAGAGATGGACAATCAGTGGCAAAATGGGCAGCTTCAGTTTCTTCATTTGTAAAAGTAGACCCAATTCCCCTTACCACCTATTCACAGTGCTTTTACGGAGGTAGGTACGTGTTGTATGCATCCAGTTAAGCTAAGGTCCCTGCTGGCAGGGTCTGCTTTTCTTTTTGTCTTTGCAACCTTAGTGCCTAGTGCAATGCCTGGCACATAGTAGGCTCTTAATAAAAAACTTGTTGATTAACTTGGCTGATTAAACAGCTAGGATTATCCTGGGATTTGAAGTAAAAAATGATAGAATTGGAAAGGCTTGGATGATTACTAGCTGTGTAATCATGGATGAGTAAATCATTTAATCTCTTTGACCTTCAGCTTCCTCATATGGAAAATGGGAATGATAATATTTGTGCTACCTCCCTGACAGGGTTGGAGTAAGGAAAGGCCTCTGTAAATCTTAAATGTACAATGCAAATGTGCATTTTCATTATTATAATAGAACCAAAGAGTTCAATGGAATTTGAGTTGTAAGGGACTGCAGAGGCCATCTTCACCTTCTCATCCACCATATTGGTCTTGGGGCATGTAGGAGGAAGGAGACAAGAGAAGGAAAGGAGAGAGGCAGGAAAGCTGACAGGAGAGGAAAAAAGAGGGAAGCCAGTTCCCTTGCTCTCTTTTCCATCTCCCCTCCTCTGGCATCCACTGTCCTTATAATTCAAAATAACCAATGACACAAGCCATTCTATGTGCCCTACCCCTTCTTGGTTTGCTTCCCTGTAAAATGAAGGGCTTGAATTAGAAGGTCCCTTCTAGCTTAGATCATTCTGTGGAGAAGCATCTTCACATAATGCAGAGTGCTGGACCTGGACCTGGACCCTGGAGTCCCATATTCAAATCTCAAATTTGATTCTTTTTGTTCAGTTGTTTTCAGTCATGTCTGACTCTCTGTGACCCCGTTTGAGGTTTTCTTAGCAAAGATATGGAATGGTTTGCCATTTCCTTCTCTAGCTCATTTTACAGATGAGGAAACTTAAGCAAACAAGGTTAAGTGACTTGCCCAGGGTCACACAGCTAGTAAATGTCTGAGGCCAGATTTGAACCCAAGAAGATGAACCTTCTTGACTCCAGGCCCAACACTCAGTCCACTTTGCCACCTAGCTGCCTATAAGCATGCACTCACCTGAGTGACCTTGGGCAGGTTATGTCCCTTCTCTGGACCTCAGCTTAATCCTTTGTCTGAGAGGGGGGCTATTTGAATGCTGGTGGAGTTTCTAGACTGCAGAAGTCCCGCCCATTATAATGAAAGGGGCAATCTTTGCAAACTTGGTGGAGGAAGGAATGCTCATAGTATGACTATGAGCAAATCCAAGTCCTAGTTTCCTTACCCGTAAAATGTGTATAATGCCAACCTCAGCATTGTGGGGATAGCTCTTTAGGAACCTCAAGGTGCTATAAAAACATGAGATGGACTAAAGGACCTCTTAGTTGCAGTCCCAAGAGCACAGGATTATAGTCACAGGTTCAAATCTCAACTCTGCCACTTCCTACCTAGGTGACCTTAGGCAAGCTATCCAATCTTTCTGGGGGTGGGGATCATGTCTTGTTCTTCTGTGTCCCCCACTGTCCCAAAGATAAGACTGGGCCCATAGGACATGCTAAGTTGAAAGTCTGCCAGCTTATTCTGAGGTCAGCCTGGGTGCCTCAGAAATCTGGTGCTGCAGTACACGGAACCAGGAATCAGGGCTTATTAGGTTTGAAGTGTCCCTGAGCTCATCCTTTGCAATAGTTTAAACATGGCAATAAATCAGCTTGAGTTAAAAGGTTCAAAATGTACAAAAGTAGCTGCCCCAGGGAAAGCTGAACAGTCTGTCCAGTGTCTTAGCCAGGGAGGTTTCAGATGAGTGATTACTCCTGCCAAGGCATTCTTAGTGAGGAAAGACTGTGGAAGCTCCCAAATGTCCATCCAGTCCTGGGACATCAGGTATTTTATTTAGAAAGGCGTCATGGTCAAAGGAAAGAGGTTTGTGCAGGGAACCCAGAGGCCTGGGTTCCAATCCTGGCTCTGCACTAACCTGAGTGACCATGGGCAGGTTATGTCCCTTCTCTGGACCTCAGCTTAATCCTTTGTCCAAGAGGAGAGCTATTTGGACACTGGTGGGGTTTCTAGACTACAGAAGTCCTGCCCATTATAATGAAAGGGGCAATCTTTGCAAACTTGGTGGAGGAAGGAATCATTTATACGTTAAATTAAATCCTGACCTTTCTGAGGTGGTGGAAAACTATTTTGTACCTGTTTTCAATTCAACAAATATTAAGAGCTTACTACGTACAGGCCTCTTTGCTAAGTGGTGGGAACACAAAAATGAAAATAAAACGGTCCTTGCCCTCAGGGAATTTATGTCCTACTGAGGATACAACATGTCTGCATGTAAATAAATAGGAAATATATACAAGGTAATTTCAAGATGGAGAGAATGCTCCAAACCAAGGATTTGGCCCTGTCTTTCTTCTTTCCTTGGTAAGGGGGGAGAGAAAATTAGCTGAAGTATTGAACTCTCCGGGCCTCATCTTCCTCCTCTGTAAAAGGTCTGGCCTAGATTATCTCTAAGGTGGCTGCCATCTCTGAATCCTGTGGGTTCACCCAGTCTCTGAACACAGTGAGCTCAGCCAGCCCAGTGAGAGGCATGGTAGCTACAAGTCGGGTTCAGGAGTTAGGAGGTTTCGTGAGTGGTAAAAAGGTGAAAAAAGTGTCTGATGGATGAACAGTGTCCCCTAGACAAGCCCTGAATGGAAGAGCCAGTGGCCAGCTCACCACAGGGCAGTGAGGCCTGAGGCCCAGGACAGGAGCCTTCATTATACTTACTGTTTTATGCTGCTGATGGCATGACTCCTTCCCAGGCACGTGTTAGTTCCAGCTCCCCAGGGCAGGGTGTAATTCTTGAGCCTCTTTCCACCCTTGTAGAAATCTCGCTTCTCACTCCCATCTTGGTTCAGGAACCGGTTGTACTTGAACTCCTGAAACACAGGTCCGTTTTCTATTATCTCCAGAAGGCAGCAAATTAGCAAGAAGCAAGAAATTAGAATTTCCAATTCCCAAGCTGCCTTAGAGCCTCAAACCTTTGGGACATGGTCTCAATTATCTTCTTTTCATAGGCTGAAAACCTGGCTGAAATACACACACACACACACATAATGTATGTGTGTGTATATATATAATGTATAATATATTCATTGGACTGTGAGCTTTGTGAAGGCAGAGACTCTTTTTTGCCTTTTGTTGCATTCCCAGCACAGTACCTGCCTTAAAAAATACTTTTTGACTTGACTTGTTTAGCAAAAAAGTATGGTATAGTGGAAGGGGTTCTTGCTTTAAAGAGGACCTGAATTTGAATCCCCTCTCTAACATTTAGTACTTGTAAGTACATTTAATACTAGTAAGTACATTTAGTATCTATAAGTACATTTAGTATCTGTAAGTACATTTAGTATCTGTAAGTACATTTAGTATTTGTAAGTACATTTAGTACTGACTGGTAAGACCTTGTACAATCCCTTTAGCCATTGTGGGACCTCATGTTACTCTTCTGTAAAGTGACCGCTCTGGACTAGATGACTGGATCTATGGTCCCGTGTATACGTAGGTATGCATACGTTAGCATATTTATGGATGTGTATGTGAAGACTAGAACGTACCATCCTAGACCATCAAACCTGATATAATATCTACTCCAACACTTATCCTAAAGAGAGGAAACTGAGCCCCAGAGACGTAAATTATTTTCTTTTTTATTTTCTATTTATTTTCTATTTATCTGCCCAAAATTTATTTTCTATTTTCATACAGCTAATAAATAATAAAGTCAGAACATGTACTCAAGTCTTCTGGCCCCAAATTCACTGCCTTAAAAAAATTACACCATGCTGTTTCTTGTTAGGTGTATCTGTATGTTGTACGTGTGTATGTATGTATATGTTTGGGAGCACATATGTGCACGGAATGATTTTTTTGTGTGAGTATATATGTATACCTGTGTTGGGCTCTGGCCATGTCCAACGAAATTCACAAAATGTTACATTATTACATGGAATTGACTCTTGCAACCTGCTAGAAGGTCAGAGAGGTATCTTGACTAGATTAAAGGAGCTCCTAGATCCCAGCACAGGGAAGGGAAGGGAAAAGAAGACAATAAGATTTATTGAGTGCTTACTATGTGCCAAGCACTGTGCCATGACTTTACAAATATTACCTTATTGGATCTTCACAACAATCCTGTGAGGTAGATGCTCTTAATATCCCCATTTTACAGTTGAAGAAACTGGGACAAACAGAACTTAAGTGATTTATCCAGGGTTTTACACAGCTATATGTTGTTGCTGTTCAGTGTTTCGGTCATATCCAACTCTTGGCGACCTCACTGGGAGTTTTCTTGGCAAAGATACTGGAGTGATTTGTCATTTCCTTCTCCAGCTCATTTCACAGAAAGGGAAACTGAGGCAAGCAGTGTTAAGTGACTTGCCCAGGCTCATACAGCTACTAAGTGTCTGAGGCCAGAATTGAATTCATGAAGATGAATCTTCCCGACTTTAGGCCTGGCACTCTATTCATTGCATCACCTACCTTCCCAAGCTAGTAAAAGTAACTCAGGGGCAGCTAGGTGGCACAGTGGATATAGCACCTGTCCTGGAGTCAGGAGGACCTGAGTTCAAATCTGACCTCAGACCCTTGACACCTACTAGGTGGGTGACCCTGGGCAAGTCACTTAACCCCACTGCCTAGCAAAAAAAAAAAAAAAAAAAAAGGAACTCAAATCTTGCTGACTCCAGGCCCGGTACTCTATCCACTGAGTCACCTAGCTGCTGCTACTCTTGTCCATCTGCCAGGGGCAGCACCATGTCCACTGGGACCTCCTGGGTAATGAAGGGTGCAGCTAATACAGTGGCATTATGATCCAGGGACTTAGGCTGAGTAGCGTATCAGCCTCCAAAAAAGGAGGAGATGGGAAGCAAAGCCAACTTGGCTGGGAACAAAATGGTGTGAGGGAGACAGCCCTGAGCTTCCAGCAGAGAAAACACAACTGCTGTCAATACTTCTTGCCTAGAATACTGCAGGAGCCTCCTAATTGCTTTCGGCCTCTCCCCCTCTCTCATCTATCTACAGTAAATGCTTCTTGGATGGGCAGATGGATGAATGAGTGAATGTGGCAACCGGAAATCAGTGTGTCCCAGGAAATTAGGATTTGACTGATAGGATGGTCTTCCCAAGCCCTTTCTGGAGATCGTTAATTGAAAACAACAATTTCAGCTTGTATTGAGCTTTATGGTAACAAAGTATTTCATATCTTATTAAGAACAATCATGGTATGGTGGGAAGAATACTACTAACCTTATTGGAGTCAGATCTGGGTTTAAACTTCCATTGTAACATTTACTAATTGTGTGACCTTGGGTAAGTAACTTCATGTTTCTGGGCTTTCTGCAACTGTAAAATAGGGACTGTTATTCTAAGGGGAAAAAAAGGCTTTTAAAGTATTCAAAGTATTTTTTAAGCATTAAAGACGAATGAATGACCCTGTCAAGTAACGGTGTAATCTCCATTTTACAGATGAGTAGACTGAGGCTGAGAGAAATTGAAGTAACTTGTCAAGGTCACACAGTTGGTAAATGATAGAGTCAAAGTTCAAACCCAGGGCTTCTGAATCTAAGCCTGGGGATCTCTGTGCAAGAAAAAACTCATTCCCATCTTGATTTCCATAAAAAGTTAAGCCAGCAGGATAGGCATTTGTTACCTCTGGGTCCTCGTAGATTTCTGGGTCCCTCTGAGGACTGAGGAAGGGGAAGAGGAGGAGGCGGTCACCTTGCCGGAGGCTGTACTCTCGTCCATCTGCCAGGGGCAGCACCATGTCCACCAGAACCTCTCGGGTGATGAAGGGGGCGGCCGTCAGTCTCAGGCTTTCACTTAACACGCTGTCTGCAAGGAGCAGGAGAAGAAAGATGAGACAGTGGCGGGGTACCTGGGGAGGGGTACTTTGGGGTTTAGGTTGAGTGTGGTTGTTGAGTCATTGAAGTCATGTCCAACTCTTCATGACCCCATTTGGGGTTTTCTTAGCAAAGACACTGGAGTGGTTTGCCATTTCCTTCTCCAGCTCATTTTACAGATGAGGAAACTGAGGCAAACAGGGTTAAGTGACTCGCCCAGGGTCACACGGCTGGTAAGCGTCTAAGGCTGGATTTGAACTCAGGAAGATGAGTTTTCCTGATTCTAAGCCCAGTGCTCTGTGCACTATGGTGCCACCTAGCTGCCTCTTAGGCTGAGCAGGAGGTATCTACATAGCTCTCACTGTGCCCCTGTTTCTCCAGTGCTGCCTGGGGTACAGGGTTTTCTGAATCAGGTGTTAGGAGACCTATTAGCTGTGTGACTGAATAAATCACATCACTTTTCTGAACTTCAGTTACTTCATTTGTAAAATGGAGATAACAATACTTGCCCTCCTTCTCTCCTTTAAAGGGCTCTGTAAACGTTGATGGAAAACAGAAAGGTGAGCTGTTATTTTTTTTTACATGCAATTTTATTTTTTCTCAATTATGTGTAAACAAAAACCTTGAACATTCATTTTTTAAAATTTTGAGTTCCAAATTCTCTCCCCCCCAACTCCCTCCCCTTAGCTGTTGTCATTATTGATAGAGAGGCACTGTAGCCTGGTAGATAGAGAAGCAGGAAGCCAGGAGGACCTGGGTTCAAGTCCCACCTTTGAAACAGATTGACCGTGTGACTGTCACTGAGAAGGTGCTGTCCTGCGTTGGTAGAGGGAGCTACCTTGCCTGGAAATTCCCTATCCTAGTGAAATCTCCAGTCTAGTCTATATCAACTGAGATAATATCTGAATAGAACTTATCACAGCTCCTAGTACACAGTAAGTGCTTAATAAATGCTTCTTCTATCCCACCCCACCTATCCCTATCCCTGATTATCTAGACAGAAACCTCAATAGGGTGGGGGAAGGCAATGAACCAGACTGCCCAGGTTGGAAGGAAGTGCCCTTAAGAATGTCCAACTTCCTTCACTTTGATTCTATGCTCACCAAGTGACCTTCTCATTTATAATTTGGCTTCCTGAATGAACCTGCAAAAGAAGAGGCACCAGTGACCAATACCAATCACCCTGCCCCTGCTGTAGTAATAGAATAAAAATCATGATGATAATAACAGCTTCCATTTCTATAACATATTATAGAATATGTTATTCTGTCTAACATACATAGAATATGTTATTCTTAACTTTACCAATCACTTGGTACTACCTTCACACCAATCCCTTATAGAATGACTGGAACATATTAGGTGCTTAATAAATGCTTACTGTCTGACCATTGACTTATATTACAAAGAGTATACAGAATGACCACAGAGATATAAATGGAAAGAACAGCAAAGTCAATCTGTGAGACAAATAGAGCAAATATTCCTAGATCTATCTCACTGATGAAGAAACTAAGGCTCAGAGGAGGAAAATTTTGCTCAGAGCACATGCTAATGGTTGTAGAACCGAAGCCTAGGTACATTGATTGCTGAAAGGAAGAAACAGGCCTCACGGTTCATAAATCAGGTTCAAAATTTAGGTAACTTAACTTACTCTTGTGGAGCCTGGAAACCCACGAAGAACAAACCACCAGCCCTCTGGTAACCCCAGCGGGTGCCAAAGCCCAGTGAGGCCCAGCCTTTATCTCTCTTGGACCCTTCTTTTACTGTTGGTATAGGGAGCCATTCAAAGATGGAAGACTCAGATGGCTCAGAATGCTCTGAGAATTCACAGGCCCAAAGAGGGGAGCTCTTAAGGAAAGAACCCAATCTAAAATTCAGTGAATGGGGCAGCTAGGTGGTGCAATGAATGGAGCACTGCACCTGAGTTCAAATCCAGTCTCAGACACTTGACACTTAACTAGCTGTGTGATCCTGGGCAAGTCACTTAACCTTGACTGTCTCACAAAAAAAAAAATGAAATAAAATTTAGGGAAGGACAGGAAGAGGACTCAGAGGTCTCTTCCTGAGGTAGTAGGATGCCTGGCAGATGGTGAGCCACGCCCATGGAAGAATCCAGGATTCTGCTTCCTCCCTATTCCCCTGGTGGGGAAAAAGGGAAAGAAGCTAGGCTAGGGCTTTGAGAATGCTGCCTTCTCTGGGGTCTCCTTCCTCCATGATACCCAAGTTTGCTGAGTGTTAGGACTGAGTGTTAGGACTGGAGATGTTACTACTCATCCTGGTCTTTCCCGTGTCTAAATACTGGGGATGGGAGCCCCAAGGAGGAGGAACAGAGGCAAAGACTAGGGATCACTTACCAAAAATAGGCATGCTATCCAGGACTTCCTGAGGAATGCTGGCCATCTCGGACAGCGCCCGCCCTTCCTTCTGGAGGGTGCTTTCTAACTCCCCAAGGACAGCAGCGAGAGCAGTGGGAGTCTTCAGGAGGAACAGCAGGAACCAGAAAGCAGCAGGACCAGCATTGCCCTAGAAGGGATAATCCATCCCCACCCCGCCCGGCAAAGAAAGGCTAGTTACACACCACTCTTGAGAACAATGGTAACCGTCTTGATGTCTTGGAGTCTACACTGATATCAAGTCTCAACATGAAGTCAAGAGCATAATAGTTATTATTCCAATTTTACAAATGAGGAAACTGAGTCAAATCAAGATGGCATCTAGGTTATTCTTTGCATAATGGAAACAAGCTCTAAACTTGGAATCCACAGCAGGGTTCACATCCCCCTGGTTTTACCCCAAGAACAATTACTTTTAAAATACTTAAAAATGTGTAAAGCACTATACTGGCCATTGGGGAGATATAAAGTTTGGAAAAAACAATTATTTTCTGTATCTGAGTTTTTTCAGCAGCAAAGTAGGGATTAGTAACTCTCCCCACAAGGGGCAAAAAAAAAAAACACTTTCAAAAAATACTATGAAAGAAGCACCTAATATTTACATTTAATTAAAACCTAATAGAGAGATATTGTGGGAGGATGGCAGAATAAGGCAGAAAAATGACCTGACTCTCCCAAACTCCCCTGCAAATAACTTGAAACAATGCCTCAAATTGAATTTTAGAGTAGTAGAAATAATAAAAAAAGTCAGGGTAAAGCAGTTGTCTAGCCTGAGACAACTTAGGAGGATGTTGGGAAAGACCTGACCTACTGAGGGTCTGATGGGGGGTGAAGGGCAGACATCACAGCATTAACAAACAACAAGCCTTAGAGGCAGCTGTGTCAGGGGCAGATGCAGCTTTGGGAACTTTCACCCCCTGGGTTGGTGGCTGATCAGGGGATGATTTTGAGGGTCCTCTGCTGGCACTGAATGTGGGACCCAGGCACACTGACAAGACATGATCCCAGGATGTGGCTACTGTCAAGGAGAGGAGAGTGAGTGAATAAGGTCATAGAGGGGTGGGATGGAGAGAATGGATTGTGGTCACTTGCAGGAGAGCATTGTTCTTGGTTTGGATGCCAAGGTAGAGGGGTGAACTGATACTTGCTGGCCACAGGAGAACTGTGAACTAGAGCTGTGGAAACAGTTCCAGGACAGCAGGAAGTAAAAGGCTTTGCCATGGCAGTGTTGAGGAGTGGGAGTTGAGCCTGGTTATAGCTCAGGGGTGGAAAGGAGTCCTTGAGGTTGTTCATAAACCAAGGCACAAGCCAGAAGAGCAGTGACTATACCTGGCCTTGGATACAGCACGTTAGAAAAGCCAAAAAGTCAAAGATCCCCCATCCCCAGATAGAGGTCTGAAAACAACAGCAAAAAAACCAAACCAAAACAAAACAAAAAACCCAAAGCTTGAGACATTGTCCCCTACAGCTCAGGAGCAGAGCCTGACCATAACATTAAGTTAACAACCAAGAAAAAGGTTGTTAAAAATGTATAAACAACAGAAAAAGAACCTGACCATATGTAGTTACATGGTGATAGAGAAGATCAGGGTTCAAACTCAGAATAAGACAATGAAGTCAGAACAACTACTTGTAAAGCTTCAAAGAAATTTGTAAAATAGTCACAAGCCCAAAAAGAATTTTTTGAAGAGTTTCAAAAGGACTTTAGAAATCAAATAAGAGAGGTAGAAGAAAAATTGGGAAAAGAAATGAGTAATGTAAGAAAATTATGAAGAAAAAGTCAACCAGTTGAAAAAGAAGTCTAAAAACTTATTGAAGAAAATAACTCCTTAAAAATTAGAATTAATTTATGGAATAAAATAATTTTTAAAAAAGAATAGAAAAATTAGAAGCTATTGACTTCATAAGACATCAAGAAATAACAAAACAAAACCAGAAGAATGGAAAAATAGAAGAGACCATGAAATATCTCATTGGAAAAACAGCTCACCTTAGAGAACAGACTGAGGAGAGATAATATAAGAACTACTGGACTACCTAAAAGTCATTATCAAGAAAAAAAAAAGTCTAGACATTATACTTCAAGGAATTATCAATGAAAATTGTCCTGATGTTTTAGAATTAGAGGGTAAAATAGAAATGGAAAAATGCACTGATCACTACCTGAAAGAGATCCCAAAATGAAAACTCACAGGAACATTATAGCTAAATTTCAAAGCTCCCAGGTCAAGAATAAAATATTACAAGTAGTTAGAAAGAAGCAATTCAAATATTGTGGTGCTACAGTCAGAATAACACAAGATTTTGCAGTTTCTACATTAAAAGACTGAAGGGCATGCAATATAAGGTAATCAAAGGAACAAAGGAATTGGGTTTGCAACCAAGAATACCCTACCCAGCAAAGCTGAGTGTGATCCTGCAAGGAAAAAAAATGTCTATTTAATGAATTAAAGGACTTTCAGACACTCTTGAGGAAAAGACCAGAACTGAGCAAAAATTTTGACTTTCAAATACAAGAATCAGGAGAAACATAAGAAGGTAAACATGAAAGACTAACTCCATTAATAAGTTTAAACTGTTTCCTATCTTATGTGGGAAAATAATATCTATAACTCTTAAAAATATTGTCATTACTGGGGTAGTTAGAAAGAGTATACATAGACAAATGGCTTGGGTTTGAGTTGATTATGATGGGATAATCCTAATAAATAAAATTAGGTAGAGAAAAGCAAAATGGAGCAAATTATCTCATACAAAGAGGCATAAATGAAAGAATTTTTATAGTGAAGGGGAAGATGGTTGGAGGGGGGGCAGCATGGGAATCTTATACTCATCACAACTGGGTTGAAGAAGGAATAACAAATACATCTGGTTGGGTATGAAAGTCCTCTTAACTCACAGAGAAATAGGAGGATAAGAGAGGGACTCTTAGAAAGGTATGCAGATAGGAGAGGCAGTGGTCAAAATCAAACAACACTTCTGAGGAGGAATGGGGAGAGAGAGGGAGGGAGGGAGGGAGAGAGAGAGAGAGAGAGGGGGGGAGAAGAGAGAGAGAGAGAGAGAGAGAGAGAGAGAGAATGATAAACAGTGAGAGGAAATAGGATGGAAGGAAATATACAACTAGTAGTAGTAACTTTGAATGTGAATGGAATAAACTCACCCACAAAACAGAAACAGATAGTAGAATGTAACAAAAACCAGAACCTGATAGTATGTTGTTTATAAGAAACACACTTAAAAATAAGAGACACACATAGAGTAAAAATAAAGGGCTGGAGTACAACTTATTATGCTTCATCTGATATATAAAAAAAAAAAGCAGGGGTAGCCGTCATGATCTCAGACAAAGTTAAAGCTGAAATAGATCTAATTAAAAGAGGTAAGCAGGGAAATTACGTTATGTTAGAAGATATCATAGATAATAAAGTAAATATCAATTCTAACCATATATGTACCAGATACTATAACATCCATATTTATAAAGAAAAAGGTATATGAATTACAGATGGAAATAGATAACAAAACCATAACAGTGGGAGACTTCAACTTTTCCCTTTCAGAACTAGATAAGCCTAACCAAAAATAAAATAATAAGTAAGAAGTCAAGGAGATGAATAGAATTTCAGATAAACTAGATATGATAGCAATCTGGAGAGAATTGAATGGGAATAGAAAGAAAGAAATCTTTTTGTCAGTGGTACATGGCACCTTTACAAAAATTTACTCTCTGTTAGGGAATATAAACCTTATAGTTAAAGCAGAAATAGTAAATTCTCTCTTTTCAGATCATAATGCAATAAAAATTACATTTACTAAGAGACCATGGAAACACAGATTAAAAATTAATTGGAAACTAAGTAACCTATTTGTTTTTTAGTTAAAAATGTCATAAGGCAGTTTTTTTAAAAAATTTAAATTTATTTTATTTTTAGTTTATGGAATAAAAGAAGTAGTTCTATAGCATAATAAAATAAAAAAGACAATTGCACATGAATCTGCAAGTCTATTATGTACAACTTAATTTAGAGAATGAGTGGGTCAAAGAACAAATCATAGAAACAATAAATAATTTTATGAAAGAGAATGATAATAATGAGACAATATATCAAAACTTATGGGATGCAGCAAAAGCAGTAATCAGAGGAACATTTATATCTTTAAATGCTTATGTCAAGATAACAGAGAAAGAGCAGATCAATTAATTGGATATGCAATTTTAAAAACTAGAAAAAGAACAAATTTTAAATACCCAACTTAATACCCAATTAGAAATCCTGAAAATTAAAGGTGAGATTAATAAAAGTGAATACAATTGAATTAATAAATAAACTAGAAATTGATTTGATGAAAAAGCAATAAAAATAGATAAAACATTGGTTAACATGATTTTTTAAAATGAAAGAAGAAAACCATATAACTAGTATCAAAAATTAAAAGGGTGAATATACTATTAATGAAGGTGAAATTAAAGCAGTTATTAGGAGTTATTTTGCCCAATTATATGCCAATAAAATTAACAATCTAAGTGAAATGTAAGAATACTTACAAAAATGTAAACTTCCCAGATAAACAGAAGAAGAAATAGAATATCTAAATAAATCTATTTTAGGAAAAGAAATTAAACAGGCTATAAACGAGCATCCTGAGAAAAAAGCATCAGGACCAGATGGATTTACAAGTGAATTCTACCAAACATTTAAAGATCAACTAATTCCAATATTAAATAAATTATTTGGAATAAAAGGCAAAGAAGGAGTTCTACCAAACTCCTCTTATGAAACAACTATGGTGCTGACACCTAAACCAGGAAGAGCAAAAACAAAAAAAGAAAATTACAGACCAATTTCACTAATTGATGCAAAAATCCCAAATAAAATACTAGCTAAAATACTACAGCAATATATCACAAAGATTATACATTATGACCAAGTGAGATTTATGCCAGGAATGCTGGGCTGGTTCAATATAAGGAAACTATTAACATAACTGATTATATCAACAACAAAATCAACAAAAATCATATGATCATATCAATAGATGCAGAAAAAGCTTTTGACAAAATAAAACAACACTCTTCCTTTTAAAAAACACTTGATGGGGCAGCTAGATGGCTCAGTGGATAGAGCACCA